ATTTTCGTCATGATTGTTGGAGGTCACTGTGGGACAATTAGGATAGTATATATGCATTTGCTTAAGTAATGGGCAAGGTTCAGGGCTGGTGAATATTGACTGGAAATGCATCACTAATTTAATATATTGCATCTTGTCAACTTAATGTAGGAGTTTTGATCAACTTTTTTAAAAATTATAGATAATTAAAAATAAACAAATTGAGTATGAGTGGAGGAATTATCTTAAATGAACGTTGCCTCAGTCCTCACTACAATTTAGAAGCAATAGTCAATTTTAAATATTCTTTAGCCTTAAGATTTTGCTTTTTGAAGTGAAAATTTTCAGACAGATTTTGCTATTGGCGCAAAATCAGAATGGAACTTTTAACTGCCACCTCATCCCTAAATGACCCAACCTAACAACATATTAGTTATATACGGTCGGCTACTGCTGCAGCCTCCACTACCAAAACAGAACCAGAAGCTCCTGAAAGCCAATGAGACACTTGTCACTGCACCAGAGGGGAAGTCAGACATAAATAAAAGGATGTAAATGCAAATACAATAAACTTGGCCAGGAAGATGTGAGTAATGGTTTGAACGCAGGGGAGACAAATCTACTATTGAGCCTTGTCTCTCCAGAAGACTTTCTGATGCTGTACCAGGGTATGCTGCCAATTCCCACCAGGCAGTCCTTCCCAGTAACTTATGATTTTGTACCTTAAAGCTCTGCAAGCAGCTGTACCCCAGGGATCCAGTTGGATAAATAGTATTCAGGCAGAGAAGGTCTATCCTGTACTGGTTACTTTTTACAAGATTTCCCAGATTCAAAACAAAAAGTATTTCTGGTGCTCATATGGGTTGCTTTTATATGCAATTTGACCAGTAACAATGATTCTTATGAGCTGGATGTTATTTTCTGTGTTTGTACAAAATGTTTTCCTTTTGGTAAGTGTTTGTTTAAAATACCTGCATGTACTTTGCAAAATGCTTTGGGTAACACAAGTATTGGAAAGATTGCACAACATGAATTGATCAACTCAAGTAAAAGCATAGTTGAATAAGTAACAGGTATTTTGAACTTTTGCTTTTTCTCCCACAGGGTAAACAACTTTGTCCCCACTAATGTCATTATTTCCAAATAATTGTCTCCTGTTGATCAATGAATCAATTAACTTTTTTTTGTAGGAGTTAATTGATCTATTCCATATCCATAGACTTGTGCACTTCAGAATTATTTTGTTTTGTCAGGATGTTGAAATTCCACCATTTCACTGGTCTATATGTTAGTGTTCCATGACTCTTAACCCAGTCAGTTCTTTTCAGTGGAGTGCAGAATACAACATGTGTACTTGCCTGCTGAGATGGGGGTAAACTTCAAATCGTTTCTAGTTCATTCTTAGCAACTGACTTAAGTATTAGTTGGAGAGGTTAACTGATAGAAACTACTAAAGAACAAAATAAAGGGCTAGAGTTTTAAAATTAAATTAATACATTGTGATGTTTGGAGAAATATTGGCCACAAAATTTGATAACACCGTAAATAGGAAACCGAGAGCAGTCATAAATGGGTCATTTCTGGTGGGCAGTTAGGCATGGTCAATAAATGCTGGCATAACTGCCCACGTCCCATGAGTGAATTAAAAAAAACATAAAGAATGATATGCTACAAATATCAATGCTAGGATCTCTAATTTTTGCAATTTATATTAATGATTTGGATGAAGGAACCAAAAGTATGTTTGCTAAATTTGCTGTTGACGCTTAGATAGTTAGGAAAATAACATATAAAAAGGATGTAAGGAAACTACAAAGGAATGTAGATGGCTTAAATGAGTGAGCAAAGATCTGGCAAATAGAATTATAAATATATCTGGAGTGTAATGTGGGAAAATGTGAAGTTGTCTATTTTGGCATGAAGAATAAACAAAGCATATTATCTAAATGGTGAGAAATTGCTCAGATGTAAAGGGATTTGCGTGTCCTTGTGCGTGAATTGCAAAAGGTTAGTATTTCAGATAAAATATGTAATTAGGATAGTTAATAGAATGCTATTGTGTTTTGTGAGGGAAATTGAATGCAAACAAAGGGAGGTTATGCTTCAATTGTACAGGAGATTGACACCAGATCTGGAATATTGTCTATCGGTGACTTTATTTTTTGGTTTGATTTATTATTGTCACATGTACCGAGATACAGTGAAAAGTTTTGTTTTGCATGCAGTACAGGCAGATCATACCATACAAAGTGCATTAGGGTAATAAAGCAAAGTGAAGAATACAATGCTATGGCTGCAAAGAAGGTGCACAAAGAGAAGGATGTAAATGTGTTAAAAGCAGAGAACGTGTGCCAGACCAATATTTAGAAAATATGGATTATCTTGTGAAGTAAGTTTGGACCGACTAGCTATTTATCGGCTGGCGTTAAACAAAGTAAGGTGTGACTTGATTGAAATATATAAGATCCTGAGAGCTCTTGACAGGTTGGATCGAGAAAGGATTTTTCTTGTGGGAGATTCTAGAACTAGAATCATTATTGCAGGGGTGTGGACAAAGTTTTCTGAGTATGATAAGTCTTTGGAACTTTCTTCAAAAGGTGTTAGAAACAGTTTCTTTGAAATTTTTAAGGGACAGGTAGGTATAATCTTGATAAGCAAGAGTTTGAAACATTATTGCAATGGGTGGGAATGAATTAATTGAATGAATGATTTATTGTCACATACTCAAATGTGTACAGTGAAAATGGGAATAATCAGATCAGCTATGATGTTATTGAATGAGTCAGGAGGCTTGAGGTGCTGAGCAGCCGACCCCTACTCCTAATTTCTATGTTCATCACTTGCAATAGGAACTATTTCCTCTTAGAAAACTGAGTCTGTCTCCAAATGGGCACAATTTTTGGGGTCTGACATGAGCTTAGAGGCAGTGAACAGTTGTCTGGCTGAAATGATCTTGTAATCTGGCAATTCCTACTCCTGTCTGTGGATGGCGATCCAGCATGTGAAAATAAAATCCTGGGTCAGTGACACAGTTTCGGTGAAAACAGACATGGGTCAGTTTCCAGCTGGGCACTAAAGAAGCATCTCAAATGACACCAGCATCTGCCAGTGTTATGTCAGTGTGGTATTCGTTAGTTGACTGCAGCAACATTGCTGGGGTGTTGAATTTGTTTGGGACTGGATGAGGAAAGTGGTGTGGTGAACCTTGCATGACCACTGTGGAATTTTTGAAGCATTTTAGGATGAGGATGAATAGGTTGACTAGGTGGTTTAAATATGTTAAACATAATTGGAAGATAGAACCACTAAAAGAAGTTTAAAATATTTTGGATTTTATAAATAATTACATGGGGTGACTGTTTGTTTGTTTTTTATACTCTACATGACGTATTTAAAGATAGCCATTGCCTCCCAACCACACTGACTTGTTCCCGATAGTTAACCACAGCCTTCCTGTCCTTATCCTATTGAGGCCCTTAAAAGGGCAGTTAATTGACACTTAAGGGCCTCATTCCATCTTTGCTTCATTTTTTTGGCGAAAGGACAGCAGTCAGCCCAACAGTTTTGAGAGTGTGAGCAGTTGTTGGGAGGAAGAGGGGTACCTCCTTAGGCCAAATCTCCTGAGCCCCTCGTAGAACTTTCCTTTTATCTGTGCTCCTATCCCTAAGTTGATAATTCAATGCTACTGTAATTTATATTAATTGCAACCAGATTTAAATCTCAAACAACTTTGTAAACTATTTCCTTTCACTTTAAGGTGTTTTGAACCACTTTTACTGGATTAGCCTTGTTCATTTGAAGGGATAAAGTAATGTACTGGAAAATTTAATTTCTTAGAATAAGTTTCTAATTTATCAAAATGCTTTTCCAATATTCAATATCGAATGAGCATAAATCCTTTCCAATTAAATATTGGAAGACTGAAGCCTCATTTTACTGTTTTCTCCCTCAAAGCTTCATTCCCTGACAATCAACTTCATTCCTCTCCCTGGCAAGATTCTAAGATTAAGCCAGTCTATTTATAACCTTGGCATATTTAACATTTGATTCTGAATTGAGCTCCTAACGTCATTTTTACCAGGCTATGATTGCCTATTTGCACCTCCGTAACTTTGCCGACTTCACCCCCTCTCAAGTTATCACTACGGTAACCACTCATCAATGCCTTTGTTACTTTTAGACTCAATTGTTTTCTCTTGATTCCGGTCCCACACTCTAACCTCTGTATGCTTAAGCTCATCCAAAATTCCACATCATAAATAACTACCCAGCTTTAATCAAGCCTTTTCTCATCATGTTCACTATTTAGACAGGTACATGGATAGGAAAGATTTGGAGGGATTTGGGCCAAACGTGCGCAAATTGGACCAGTTTAGTTTGGGAAATTTGGTCAGCATGGACAAGTTGGACCGAAGGGTTTGTTTCCATACTATATGACTGAGTCTGTATCTGGGACTTTGCCTCCCACCTGCAAACCTCTGTAGTCTGCTTGACACCACAGCCCTCCTGAGATATCTGTGCAAATATCTGGTTCTGGCCCCTTGTGCATTCCTAATATTAGTTACTCCACTGTTGATGACTATGCCTTCAGTTGTCTCGGCTCCAAGCTATTACCTCCCTATACCTCTTTGCCTGTCTAACTCACTCTTCTTTATGACACTAAGTAAAACCTGATCTTTTGACCAAAGCTTTTGTCTTCTGACATAGTACCTACTTCTACTGCTTGATTTAACACTTTGATAATGCACCTGTTAAGCACCTTGAAATGTATCATTATGTTAAAGACAACATTTGTTGCTCTTAGAAAGTACAATATTTCTTTTCACTATTGCAATTGATGAAAAGTAAGAACCACTTAACCACTGTTAAGGAAATTAAGAACATAAAAGTAATTCAGCTGTGTTTTAAAACATGCAAAAAGTATATGTACAGCACAGTAAAACAGTCTATAAATGGGCTTGCTTATTATTTATTGTTTCAATCACAAGCTATAGTAGTTGTAATATCTGGTTTCTTCATAGCAGGACTTCAAACAGCAGTCAGACCTTGTCCTCATGCCATACTATGGATCCTTCTGCACCTGAAGAGTGTTTTCAAGCATTAAACCATGCAGAGCAGACTTTTAAGAAGATGGAAAACTACCTTCGACACAAGCAATTATGTGATGTAGTGCTACTAGCTGGAGACCGGAGGATTCCAGCTCACAGGTAAATGGGAAATGTACCAATAAGCTTATTTATGTAATTTAAATCAATGTCCTGACCTTTTGGAAAGTCAACATTAGACCTAATTACTGTACTTTGCACTAATATAAACATTGCCTGTTTCAACCTTCATGGAATTTGTGGCACTCTATGTAACAGTTGATGGTTGCTGAGGAAACATAATAGAGGCTTTTGCAAACATTTTATGAAGTGCCTTTAGGAAATAAGTAGCTAATAATAAATAGAAGGCGATTATGATTTTCCTGATCATTTTTATAAGAATCTGTCAAAAAGAAGCCAATTATATTTTTGGAAAGTTATGTTTTATTTTATGTTTGTAGTAGTTCCCTAGATACAAATACAACCTTGTAATCATCCCTCTCTTTTAAGTTTCAGGTCCTATTTTGTTATTTTCTCAGTGTATTATGTATTTTATTCTGCCACTATTGTGCTGTGTGGATATTAAAAGAAAGCATTTTATACTTGTGTTTTCTTTTCTTACCCATTGGCAATGAGATGAAAAGATGCCCGACAACCTATAAATGTTGTGTGCAGCTTGACATTTCATTTAAGATGGAAGGCATTACTATGGATGAACCTATGTAAATTGAAAATTATAAATAGGTTTTCTTCTTGTGTTCCCAGGTTGGTTCTATCCTCTGTTTCAGACTACTTCGCTGCAATGTTCACAAATGATGTAAGGGAGGCCAAACAAGAAGAGATAAAGATAGAAGGCGTCGACTCAAATGCATTGTGGGCATTAGTTCAATACGCGTATACAGGTGACTACAAATTACTGGATAAAGTTGAAGTGTCATGTCAGATAATTATGTAAAATTCCAAATTGCACATTCTGGGTAAAATAGCTGTCTTTGCTTTTTGTTTAAACAAAGAAGATAGTTTTGCACAACAAATTTAGCAATGATGGTTTTATATAATATACTTGAGTAGATTTGTAGCTCAGGTTGTGGATGCTGCAGTTGGTTCACTCGCCGAGCTGGTTTATTAGTTCACAGCCCTTTCATTACCCTGCTGGGTAACATCATCAGTGCAGCCTCCAATAAAGTGTTGTTGTGTTTTCCCACTTGCTATTTAAACTCTGGGGTCCGTTGAAGTTGATTACCTCATTTCCGGTTTTTCTTTGCAGTGGTGTGTATATAGGGTCTCATTCCGTGTGTTTATTGATGGCCTCCTTGGTGGAGAACCAGGCCTCCAGGCAGAGACAGGGATGGGAATTCCTCGCGGCCTGGTTCTCCTCCAAGAAGGCCATCAATAAACACACAGAATTAGACCCTATATACACACTATTGCAATGAAAATCCAGAAATGAGGTAATCAACTTCAACGGACCCCAGAGTTTAAATAGCAAGCGGGAAAATTTAAAACGCTTCATTGGAGGCAACACAGATGATGTTACCCAGCAGGGTAATGAAATGTCTGCAAACTAACAAGCCAGCTCGGCGAGCAAACCAACCACAGCAGATGGTTTTATATCTTTGCATAGACAAATTAAATGATGGCCTCTTTTTAAGAAATTAAATATAAGTTCTCCTTTGCGAAAATCCATTAGGAGAAAGAAACGCAAAGGAGCATCTTAGTAAAGAAAATCACATTGAAAGCCAACAGTTGCATCTGACAAAGACCTATATTGCCGATTGCCAAAGAAGTGTCACCTTGGATTCAAAACATTAACATTGTTTCTGTCCTCACAGATGCTGCCAGACCTGCTGAGTTTCTCCAGCATTTTCTGTTTTTATTTTAGATCTCTTACATCTGTGGTGCTTTGCAACATCAGCAATGAAGGTAATAAATGCATATGTAATTAGCATCAGGGATGTCTTTACATTTACATCTGACAGTCTACAATTTATGGTAGCAGATTAGAAACATAGTGGTCATGGACTTAAACCTAACCATAATTAATTGTGAAATTAAATTCAATGAGCCTCATAATTTTAGGCGTACACAATATGAATGTGAAAGCAGACCACTTATCCTTCAGGGAAAGGAACTGTCTACTGCAATTTGGTTAGGACTCAATGTGACTCCAGCTCTATGCTATTTTGTGGACACATAATGCTTTAAGGGTAGTTATAGTTGGGCAATGAAATTTTCCTTGCCAATATGATCATATCGAAAGAACAAAGTTTTTGAAAACACATAATAAGGGTGAATGCCTTATTAAAGCCAACTTCACAAGTAGCCAGGTAAAACTCCTGCAAAATCAAACTCAGTAGAGTGTGTTCACATGGCTGTAAAGCATCTCCTATGCCAGGTCCTTTTTTCTCCACTCTCAAATGTCCAATATTTAAGGGAAGGACAACAAATACGTGTCAAAGGTGCTCTGAATTTCTTCTTGAATCATGGCTCCATAGATAGTAAATAACTTCAAAGAAGCCGTTACCAATTGTCCACTAAAATGTCCACTAAGCTGCATCATGCTATGAATCCAAATGCCTTAATGATAAAGCAGAGTAGTGGCAGAGAAAGAACAAAAATCCCAAATCAAGCAATCCACTATGTGCTGGGACATCCTGTCCCATGGGCACAAAAATGTGTGTTGAGAATCAGCCTGTTCAGTTACAGGAAAATCCGGGAGAGAGTTGATGTCATCCTTAAATTGGGTTGGTGATGGGATCTTATGCCATTATAGCCCCTCTGATTTTAAATGGGAAGTGATGAAACAAAAATGAGTTTTGTAGAGTCTTTAGAGTTTCTTGAAAGATGAGCCCCACACACACCACATTGCCATTCAAAAAGTTAACCTTTTTCTCAACTGAGATGGGAGGAGTGGACTGTTGCTCTGGTTCCATTAACTAAACACATGCACCAGCAGGTTCAGGAACAGCTTCTTCCCAGCTGTTATATGACTGGTGACTGGACTCTCTAGCCTCACATAATAGTGATCTTGCTAACATTGATCTCGCTTAGCACATGCCCTGTGCAATGTAGCCTGTATATGTCTAAGTCTTTTTGAATGGTACATCCTTGCTCATTATGATCTGCCTGTACTGCTCATAAACAAAACTTTTCACTTTACTTCAGTACACGTGACAATAAATCAATCAATTGATCAATCGATCGACCAATTACTCTATGGTTCTCAACATTAAAGGAAAATAATATATCTAAGTCTCAATATTGGTAATGGCATGCTTTTTCTATATTAGACTTAGAATGAAATGACCAATTAAGGAGTATTCTTTAATAAACACAATTATTAATTTAAATATTATATACATTATGAAATAGCACCCATTCAAGAAAAATGGTGAATTTATTTATTAATACACGCAATTCTAAATATGAAGATATAAATGCACTCTATGTAGCCCAAAATATACACACACACATGTTCTTCAAGTAAAGTTGAATAAAATAGATTTCTCTTCTTAAATTAATTTTTTTTAAAAACACATTGGACAAAATGTTAATGCAGTGAATATTTCAAAGTCTGTAAATCCTACAGATGTGGTCAACTCACTAATCATGCATGGTTGTTTCTGGGGTCTTGACAGAAACAGCTTGACTATGAAATACAATATTGATAAGTTCTTTCTGCCACTCTTCCAGAAGACCAACCAAACTTCATCCTAATCTTACAGCAAAGGTATTTCAGGAAGAGGAGACATGAACTGAGCAACTTTTTCTGATGCATGTTTTCCCCAACTTGAAATCCAAATATAAAATTTGCTTTTAAGGAAGGAAATCTGCCATCCTTACTTTTTCTGTATGATATGTGACAGCAGACCCACTTACATGTCCTAATTGTATGTATCTGGATGCAATCATACTCTGTTTAGAACAGTACACGATCCAATACACATGATCCCTTACCAGTGGAAGTAAGTTCACACCACAACATATGTTAGTTGTTTGCTGATTGAATCTGTGAAGTAACTTAAATGCCACCTTCTACGATATGAAGAATTTTATTTGAAATATATCTGGAAAAATCCAGTAAATAATGTATGGTGTCCAACAATTTGGATACCAAGACATTTTTTTAATCAACATCAGTGGATGTAAAACTAATTTCTGTTGGCATGTCATCAATGAAGCTTGCTCGTTCAGCATTAACATTCAGGATTAATGCTTGAACATGTTATTGCATCAAGTGGAGCTGCTCCCTCTGATCTTGGGTTTAATTTACTGTGTCAAAAACCATCAACAATGAATCTGACTTCCAGCTCCTTCTATAATGCACATATCCTGTGGCTAGCTGCAAGAGTATCCAATAAAAACAGCACTCAGGATACTGCAGAGCAATCAATTTTCAGATAAAGCATTTGAAGGCCTGTAAAAAATAATGTTTGGTTTCCTTTATTCCTCCAAATAGCCAAAACAAAACTTATGACCAAAAATGTGTCTAGATTAACATATGCTTTTGGTATGACAAGCTGAATATAAGCAACCAAATACACTACCAATATTTTTACAATGCTAAATAAACTAAAACCCATTCTGGCACCTGTGCAACATGTCACTGTATGGAGCCACTACTGCTCCTCTCTCAAGATCTGTTTTCTTCTTCTTCCCCCACTGGAACTAAAGAATAGTAGTGATGTTTGGAGAGAGAAATTAACAGAGATTGATGATAAGCTAGGTATGAGAGACAACAAAGAGAATCAAACATAATGATGAATAGAAGGTGCAAGGCATTCATTTAGGACTGGGCGTTAGCAAGCAAGACGCAATAGAGAGGAGGGGGAATGTAGTGACTAAAAATATATTGGATAGCTGATAAGGGAGAAAGACACTAATGAGAGTGAGAGAATGCGTGCTGAAGTTTGCCAGTGGCAGAAAAAAAATCACTAATAGAAGGAGCAAAGTGACCAGAGAATCTCTTTATATAGTTAAAATGATATTTAACAAATCTTTGTAAACATAATGGACCTCTGAAATTTCAAATCTAATATTGATCTTGCTTTTTGTACACTTTCTTTGCAGCCATAACCTTGTATTTGTTATTCTGGTCAATCACCCTATCATCTTTGTGTCTTTGTATGTTATGATCTGTATTTCACACGAAACTGAACTTTTCACAGTACTTAGGTATGTGACAATAATAATAAATCAAATGAAATCAATAGAGAATTTCTTAAAAGGTAAATGATTAGAAAGTGCTGATGTCCAAAAGGACCAGTGGCCCCTTATTCATGAGTAACTAAATGCTTACATGTTGATACAGCAAGATAAATCTTATAACATAAAACAAAAAAAACTTTTTTTTTTCTTTTATTCATTCATGGGATGAGGGCATCGCTGACTAAGCAGCATTTATTGCCCATCCCTAATTGCCCAGAGGACAGTTCAGAGTCAACCATATTGCTGTGGGTCTGGAGTCACATGTAGGCCAGACCAGGTAAGGATGGCAATTTCCTTCCCTAAAGGGCATTAGTGAACCAGATGGGTTTTTCTTGACCATCGACAATGGATTCATGGTCATCATTAGATTCTTAATTCCAGATATTTATTGAAATCAAATTCCACTGTCTGCCATTATCTGGGTCTCTGGATTAACAGTCAAGTGATAATACCACTAGGCCATCGTCTCCCCGCTACTGCAGATGTTGTAGAAATTCAGCAAGTTTGACAACATCTGTGGAGAGAAAAGCAGAGTTAAAATTTTGAATCCAGTGATAAATTCTTTGTAGGTCTTCATTGCAAAGGTATTTGACTGCAGCTGTAAAGACGTCATGCTACAATTGTATAAGGTCTTTGCTGAGATTGCATCTGGAGTATTGTGTACAGATTTGGCCTCCCTGACCAAGGGAAGATATACTTTCTATAGAGTGAGTGCATTGGAGGTCCACTAGACTAATCTCCGGAAAGGTGGGATTGTTTTAAGAGACGAAATTGAGGACACTGGACCTGTATTCTCCACAGTTTTGAAGATGATTTCATTGAAACTTAGAAAATTATCGGGCATGACAGGATGGATGCAGACGAGATGGTTTCCTTGGCTGTGTGTCTAGAACCAGGAGACAGTATCTCCAGAATAAGTGGCAGACCATTTAAGACTGAGATGAGAAGCAATTTCTTCACTGACTGGTGAATCTCAGAATTCTTTGATTAAACAGGGCTGTGGAAGCTCAGTCATTGACCATATTCAAGGACAAATCAATAGATATCTAGATATAATTGACATCAAGGAATTTGGGGATAATGATGAGGTAGATGATTTGGTTGAATGGTGGAGCGGGCTCCTTGGGTTGATTAGCCTGCCCTGTTCTTATTTTCCTAGAAAGTTATACAAAGAAACAATATTAACAATTGCTAACTAAATACATAAAGTATATTAGGGTTAAAAACGTACCATGTGCTTTTGATGAAGAATAGACATTTTGCCACGTACCCTTCAATACATCCTCAGATATCTTCAGACAGTTCTTTCCCACCTTCTACCACCAAATGTATAATATTGATGTTTTCATATGTTAAGATTAATTCTGCATAGCATTTACAAAAACTAGACTGTTTACTTTAAAAAAAAATTTAAAATATCCTTACTCGGCTGCAGTTGTGAATTTATCAATGACGAGATTTTTTACATTCTGAAGATGTAAATTGAAGAGGCCATTGCTAAGCAAAATGCTGTAAAATTTACATTGTATGTGCTGAAATAATTTTGATACAGTAACACAAATATATCATGTATTTAACAAAGAAATTGCATCATTTGTTTCTTTTAGGGCGCCTGGAATTGAAAGAAGACAATATTGAATGCCTATTGTCCACAGCCTGCCTATTACAACTCTCACAGGTTGTAGAAGCATGTTGCGGGTTCCTGATGAAACAACTGCACCCATCCAACTGTCTTGGAATTCGATCATTTGCAGATGCTCAGGGTTGCACTGACCTGCATAAAGTGGCACACAACTACACGATGGTATGTACCTCGGCCGGAATGGTTACTTCGTTGTCCATAAGTGTGGATTAGATAAATCGTGATTTAGTGAAGAAGCCATTTTTGTTTAAATAAGTCATAATTTTGGAATTTATTAAATCTGGGTAGCTTTGCAAGCAACAGTGCTTTGGCACAATATAGTTTTAGAATATAAAGAGGTAATTATAGTTTAAAGTTAACTACTATGAAAATTAACCCTATTTATAAAATTGTTACAAAATGTTGATCGAAATTCATGTTAGTCTATGGCTAAAATGAAAATAAAAATATAAATAAAGGCATCTGCAATAAAAAAACGTGGAGAGTAATATTTCTGTCAAAATGGTATTTGTAAACTTTGTGTGTACAATGACAAATTGCAATTGTATAGCACCCTTAATGTAATAAATTATTCCTAGGTGCTCATAGGAGCATTTTAAAGCAAAATGTAACATTGAGCTGCCACGGGAGATATTCAATCAGGTTATCAAAATTATTAGGTAGGTTTTAAGTAGTATCTTAAGGGAGGACAGCAAATTAAAGAAGTGGAGAGGTGTAAGCGGGGACAAGTATGGGGCCTCGCCAACTAAAGGCATGGGCACTAATGGTAGAACTATTAAAATGTGGGATGCTCAAGAGGCCAGATTTAAGAGAAGGACCAATATCTTAAAATGTTGTGGCTTTAAGATTATTAAAATTAGACTGAGATTGAAATGAGATTTTTTAAAAAAAGGACACGTGCTACCATGGAGGAACTTGAAACCAATGATCAAAATTTTTTTTTTTTTTTAATTGATGAGGAGCCAATATAAATCAGTGTGCTCCAGGTGATAGGTGACTTGGACTTGCTGTGTGGTTTTAGGGAAACTCAAGTTTTTAATGATAAAACGTGGCAGCCATTTGTGCATTGAAATTGTCAAGTTTGTGAGTAACAGTGTTGTGTGTGAATTACCACGTTACCTTTAATTCCGCTACTTTTTGATAAATCTCGCAGACAACCAAGTACTGAAACAGTGATTTAAACTTTATTGCATATAGCAGTCAAAATAAGACCCCTCAAGTAAGCAAGTTAAGCCTCACAACTCAACCTGTCTCTTACCTGATTAACGGTGGAAATTAGCTAAGTTTCCAATGAAGAGTTTCTGTCTCTAGAAATGCCCAAAGTTGAATCCTTGTGCAATGCTGTTCCTCGAAGTTCTGCTGCTGAGTTGTTCTGATGTTGGATTCTTGTACAGATTTTAGTCCTTCAGGTCCATGATGTGGTATTATTGATAATTCTTTAGATTCGTTCATACACAATATTACAATTCTGCAGCTTGCCTTCTTATCAGAAGTCACTTCTTTGTTCCTTGTTACATTTGGCATTGACTGTCTGTTTGAAGACACAGCTTTCCTGTAATTAATTCTTTAAATTCTTCTGCGCAGCAATCAGTTATTCCTGTGGCATAAAGCAGCCAGTTATCGAGCAGATGTCAAAACAGTTTTGTTCATGTAGCTTTAACTCCCTCTTTTCTCAGACTTGGCTAATTGCTTTCAATTCCTGTATAAATTGGTCCTTCTCCATTAATAGTTTATTCCTAACAGAGTTATTGCTTCTTCTTTCCGTGTGTAACAGTTTAGCTTTGATTCTTTCAATCCATGAACAGTTATTAAAGTTCTGAAATTTATAATATCATAAAAGGCATGAATGTGCTTTCAGCTTCTGATGAACTGTGACAGGCAAAGTCAACCATTGTCACTGAAGTGGAAATATTTGGTCTTAGTGCTGGCATGAATGCATTGTTAGAAGCTTATCTCCAGGTCAAATGTAACATCAAGCTTCCAAACAGACAGGTTTAGTCTCAGCCTGTTGTCAGAGAGAAGATTGATTTTGGTAATTAGGTGACAGAGTTTGGAGCCAGCATCAAAAACAATTGTTTCAATCTCCCCCGTATTTAAATAAATGAATTTTCTGCTGAACCAGTACTGAATGCCAGACAAGCAGCTTGATAATTTGGCAATAACAGAGGAGCCAAGAGAGAAGGTGGTGAGGTAGAGATGTATGTTGTCAGCATACAAATTAAAATTCAGATTATGTCACCAAGGGGCAACGTGTAGATGAAAAGTTGAAGTGAACCAAGGGTAGATCCTTGGAAGAGCAGTACCAGAGATAATTCTTTTTGGAGCAAGAATTGAAGGCATTGCAAGTGATACTCTGCTGCTTGCTTATGAAGTGGACATTTAACAAACTAACTGCCTAATTTCATCCGTATCTGTTGTGCAGAACCTTTTAGACTGAACAATTGTTGAATCTAGTTCTTCATTTTAAGGCTGCATGTCAGATATTGTTTTCAATTGAGAGCCAAGCCAAATATAATAAATTGAAAGAGAAAGAAATGAGGAAATTTTGACCAGCAAGAGAGAATATGGGAATAGAATAATATGGGTGAACATGGAAACAATAAAGTAAGGAAATTTGTAATACTTCATGTTTGTTGAATCAGTAATTATTTTTAAGAATGATGGCAATTAATTATCAACAGTTTGCATTAATTTTAAACAAACTGATATAATTTTCTTGAATAATAAATACTGGTTCATATGACCTGGCAATTTTTGATTTGGAGGCAATACCACCAAGAAGAAAGTTATGATACAAAATCTTGGCTAATAGAGCAAAAGGAAACTGGCAAGACAGGAGAGCTGGAGACAGAAGGTTGCTAGCACACAGAGATAGAAAGAGAAGCAGAAGTGTAAGAGTTGAAAAGAAGTTGAGTAGGAGTCAAGATGGAACCCTGTATAGGCAGAAACTGTTGTTGTGCAGAATTGGTTGACTTCTGAAGATGTTGATGTTAAACTCTAAAGATGTATATAGCTTAAATAGGAACCTACAAGCAAATTTGGCTGCTATTTCTGAGGAAGAGTCACCAGACCCACAACATTAACTCTTTTTCTTCCTCACAGATGCTGCCATACCTGCTGAGATTTTCCAGCAACTTTGTTTTTGTTGCTGTTGGCTGCCTACTAACTCCATTGGACAGTTTCTGTTACTTCTGTAGTCTCACATGGAATTTATAGCATGTATTGATTACGATTCACCTAATTTACATTACTTCTGATTCACATTACTGTAAAACTTTCAAGAAATGAAATGTTGTTAATTTATTCATTTGGTGAGGGCATTTCATGGACAAAAACAGAAATTGAGAGAAAAATTTGGCAGCATCTGTGAAGAAAAGTCAGAGCTAACGTTTCAGATCCAGTGAGCCTTCTTCAGAATTCATTTCGCGAACTTAGTATCGCGAACTTAGTAATTTGATTTAATAATCCCCCTGTAAGATTGTAACAACGGCAGTTAATGTAGAAAGGGGGCCCAAAAGCCGTCTTCTAGTTTAGAAACAGCAAACGAGTAATAAGGTGCAGGGTCGTGGCAGAAACCCTCATAACATTTAGAAATATTTAGAGGAGAGGATTGGCTGACTGGCAGAAGGCAGAGAGTAAGGATAAAGGGGTCTTTTTCAGGATGGCGTCCAGTGACTAGTAGAGTTCTGCAGGGGTCTGTGTTGGGACAACTGTTCACATTATATATTAATGATCTGGATGAAAGAACCGATGGCATTGTTACTAAGTTTGCAGATGACACAAAGATAGGGGAGGGACAGGTCATGCTGAGGAAGTGGGGAGGCTGCAGGTGGACTTGGACAGGCTAGGAAAGTGGGTAAAGAAGTGACAGGTGGAATATCATGTGGGATAGTATAAGGTTATGCACTTTGATAGGAATAATAGATGCTTAGGAAAGGCTTCCTATATCTAAAGCACAAAGCTACTTAGACTTTGATCAGGAATCTTTTAAAGTTAACATGCAGGTTCACTTGCAGTGTTAGCAGTCTTTACAAGAAAGCTAGAATACAAGAGCAGAAATGTACAGCTGGGGCTTTCTAAGGCTCTGGTCAGACCGTATTTAGAACATTGTGAGCAGCGTTGGGCCCCATTTCTAAAAAGATGTGCTAGCCTTGGAGGGTATCCAGAGGACGTTTACAAGAATGATCCTGGGGATGAAAGGCTTGTCATATAAGGAGTGATTGAGGACTCTGGATCTGAGGGAGGGATTTGATTGAAACTTCCAGAATACTGGAGAGGCCTGGATAGAGTGGACGTGGAGAAGATGTTTCCACTTGTAGGAGAGATTAGGACCAGAGGGCACAGCCTCAGAGTCAAGGGCCATCCCTTTAGAACTGAGATGAGGAGGAATTTCATCAGCCAGAGGGTGGTGAATCTGCGGCACATATTGCTGCAAAGGGCTGTTATTAAGTGTATTTAGGACAGAGATGGACAAATTCTTGATTGGTAAGGGGATCAAGGGTTATGAAAAGGCAGAAGAATGGGAAACATACCAGCCATGATCGAATGGTGGAGCAGACTCAATGGCCTAATTCTGCTCCTATGTCCTATGCTCTTCTGTGCACCTGCAACGGGAAGATGTACAAGGCTATGGGTAAAGTACTGGAAAATGAAATTAGCCAGTTCGTTGGTTGTTTTTGACCACCATAGACTCAAAGGGCAGAAGGATCTTTTTCTATGCTGCAGACCTCCTACGACTGTATGCATGCTTTATCGTGCAGAGAAAATCTACAGCCCTGAATGAATTCTACATATCATTAAAATAAAACAAAGAACTGTGGATCTGAAACTAAACCAAATTGTTACAAAACTCAGCAGGTCTGGCAGCATCTAGGGGAAACGAGTCCAGTGACTTTTCACCTGATGAGTCACTGGACTCAAAACATTAACTCTGCTTTCTTCCCACAGATGCTGCCAGAGCTGCTGAGTTTTGCCAGTAATTTCTGTTTGTGTGACTATGTATCATTGTTTACTAGGGAAGAGAGGATGCTGACAAAATATTGGTAGAAGTCAAGACGATAGACATAATAGATAGGATTTAAAAAGAAGAATGCACTGGAAATGTTGATTGTGCTTAGAATGAATAAGCAGCCTGGTCTGGAAATTGAAATTTCTTTAAAAAC